TGTCTTGTTGACTGTGTCCTTTGCCTTACAAAAACTTCTCAGTTTCAGGGGTCCCATTTATTAGTTGTTGATCTTAATGTCTGTGCTACTGGTGTTATGTTCAGGAAGCAGTCTCCTGCACTAATTCGTTCAATGGTACTTTCCACTTTCTCCTTTAAGAAGTTCAGTGTGTCTGGGTTTATTTTGAGGTCTTTGAGCCATTTGGACTTAAGTTTTGTGCATGGTGATAGATATGGATCTATCTGCAATCTTCTACATGGCAGCATCCAGTTATGTCAGCACCATTTGTTGAAGATGCTTTCTTTTTCCAATGTATCATTTAGTTTCTTTGTCAAAAACCAGGTGTTCATAGGTATGTGGGTTAATATCAGGGTTTTCTATTTCTTGTGTGTAGCAGAAAGATGGATTTTGTTTTCTTATCCAATCTGTTAGCCTGTGTCTCTTTTTAGGTGAATTGAGACCATTTATATTAATAAATATTAATAACTATTGATTGCTAGTTCCTTTTATTTTTGTTTTTGTTGCTGGTGATGACATTGTGTATTTGATTCCCTTCTTTGGGATTTGGGGCTGTAAAGTCATTTATTTCCTGTGTTCTGGTGAACACAGGTGATTTCCTTGGGTTGGCGTTTTCCTTCTAGTACTTTCTGTGGGGCTGGGTTTGTGGATAGATATTGTTTAAATTTGGTTTTATCATGGAATATTTTTTTTCTCCATCTCTGGTTATTGAAAGCTTTGTTGGGTAAAGTAGTCTGGGTTGGCATCTGTGGTTCCTTAGTGTCTGCATAAGCTCTGACCAGGACCTTCTGGCTTTCATTGTTTCCTTTACCTACAGCACAAATTTACATGTTCCTATAAGCATATCTTGGTCTGCAGAGATTACTGGACTTGACAAGGACAACACAGTGCTGTATGGATGGATGCACTGAAGGAATGGAGGAGAACCCCCAAGGGGAGGCTCTAAGAGTTAAGACCATCCTTCAATCATTCTCGCTGAGACTTGATTGGCTCAGGAATAAAGATCTATTTTCAGCTGTTTCCTGATGTCAGGGAGACAGAAAGTAATGAGGCAGGCAGCAGATGTGTCTGTGTGAGAACATGTTAGGGTCAGCTAAGAGTCTGGTGCCTGATCTAGCCACAAGACAGAGGAAGTGAAGGCATGCCTCCTTGGGGTGATATTTCCTTTCTCTGAAATGAGATACCTCATGATACAGAGCACAGTCCTTGCAGTGGCCAAATCTCCTGTTGTCTGGAAGTGCAGCCAAGCACCATGGTCTCATTCATCTGTGGATTTGAGCCTGTGGGAGGAAAGACCGTGATCACCCTCCTCACTGTCCTGTTTTGCGTTGGTGAGATTTGAAGAGGTGGAAGGGACATTGTAATCTGAGAATGGCTTTGTTTGAGAGTAAGATCCAGATCTCTATGTAGAATGCAGGGACTCAGGGGTCTCTTGGGAGAAGGCAATGTGCTGAGCAGTTGGGGGATAAATATCTTACAGGAAATATTCCTCCAGGCCTGAATTCGAGCTCCAATACTACCACAGTGGCAAAAGGTGAGTAGCTTCTCAGCTGTCCCAACTCCTCATCCTCACTGGGAACAAAATACTGTTGTGTTCTGTAAGGATGGAGAACAGTGAGTGAGAGAGGGTTGTGTTGTAATCTGGGAGGTCGTAGAACTATGTGTAAGAACAAGAGGAGTCATATCCGGGGACTCAATATTTGACCATTTTTTTTCAGTAACACTCCCCCCACCCATCCTTTGGGCTGAGCCAGGTTCTATCATCTCTTGGGGGAAATCTGTGACCATCTTGTGCCAAGGAATCCTCCAGGCCCAGGAGTACTACTTGAATAAAGAAGGAAGGGCATCACGCTTGTATAGACAGACCCTAATGGAGCCTGGGGGCAAGGCCATGTTTCCCATCAGATTCATTACAGAGCTCCATGCAGGACGATATCACTGTTACTATGAGAGCCCTGCTGGTTCTTCAGAGCACAGTGACATTCTGGAGCTGGTGGTGATAGGTAAGAGGACACTCATTGATCCAGTTCCCTGTCATAGCACAGACACAAGGAAAGGACAATGTGTCCTGTATGGAGCCTTTATCAATCTGCCTCCTTCTCTCCTAGGTTTCTATAGTAAACCCAGCCTGTCAGCCCTGCCCAGTCCCGTTGTGACCCCAGGAGGGAATGTAACCTTTCAGTGTGTCTCATGGTTGGGATTTGGCACCTTCATTCTGACTGAGGAGGGACAAACCAATCTCTCCTGGACTCAACAGTCACAGAGACATCCAAATGGGCACCTGCAGGCCCTTTTTCCTGGGGGCCCCCCACGCCCCAGCCACAGGCGGAAATTCAGGTGTTATGGGTATGCCACTAGCAATGCCCAAGTATGGTCAGTATCCAGTGACCCCCTGGAGCTCATAATCTCAGGTGAGAATCTCTTCTTTGACATAGCTATTTTAAAATAATTTTTACTTGGTTTTGTTTGTGCAAATAATATAACTTCAACTAGTGTAAAACCATTGCACATGGTACTGAGATTCATAAAGATATCTCCATACAACTTCATTATATAATTGGGTATTTTTCACACCACATCTCACTATCTGCTACCATCTTACTTTCTCCTTCCTCTTATTCTACTCTCTTCCCTAGAAACTTTAATTTCTCTCTCCTTTTTTTTTTGGTTTTTCTTTTTCGAGACAGGGTTTCTCTGTGTAGCTTTGGAGCCTATCCTGGCACTCACTCTGTAGACCAGGCTGGCCTCGAACTCACAGAGATCCACCTGCCTCTGCCTCCTGAGTGCTGAGATTAAAGGCGTGCACCACCAATGCCCGGCCCTAATTTCTCTTTTCATACCATGTATACATGTATGATTTTTGTGGCTATATATGAATATAAGATTTACTGTGAAAGAAAACTCATTTCATATATCCGAAAAAGCTGAATTTCTTTTATTCCATTATTCTGACATACAGTTCTAGCTAAGAGATCAAGCACTGAATTGAATTAGTATGGAGAGAGTGGACTCTTGCCTCCCTGTTTTTATCCACTGAGCTACCCCATTGGGGTTTGATTTCATTGAGTAACCATTCCTCTTTTGATAATGTGATGCTCAGTCTCCATGAATTCAGAATTTATATTTGTTCTGTAGTTTCTCTTGCTGTTGGTCTCTAGCTCTTTTTCCCCTATAAGGGTCATACAGAACAGAAGAGATCATTTCCACTCAGCTGTTGTAAGGATCAGCCTTCAGCAGCTATGGGATTGAGGGGGAGCCATGGATTCAGTGAACTAATTATTCAATATGACTTTTCTATCTGAGGGAGTAAAACTTAATTCTCTGGGGCTGGTGAGTGGGGCAAAACTTAGTTCTCTGGGTATAGCAAGAAAAAGGAACACACACACACACATACACACACACACACACACACACACACACACACACACACACACCCTACCTTTAGGGTCTTTTTATTATCTCTCTCTTATATATGTATTTCTTTACTTACCTCTACCCATATGTATCCCTTTTGTATATTCTTAACTTTTCCCTTACAGCTTATATACTCCAGCAAAATCTTTCAAGCTGAATAAAAATTACCATGTGGTTACTTCTTATGTTTTAAGTGAATGATTACAATTAATATGAGTAAAAACCATGTTTTCCATATTCCTTACATGATTAAACATTTTACTTATTACAGGTGAAAAACAAAATTATCTCCAAGGACCCACATAACTCACCTCCCAGCAAATTGTTACAGATTAACAGGGTGTAAGCAAGCAAGGTATTTTTCTCAGTCAGTTCTTTTATGGGCAGGCTACATTTTTCAATTACAAAGAAAGGGTCAATCACTTTACTATTTATCTCAAAAGGAAATCATATGAAAAATCTCAAAAGAATTACAATCTAAACTTTTATAAAAGAAAAACCATTAGTCATCTCCACTTTAAATCCTCAGGTCATATACACACTCATCAACAGTTTGTTTTTTATTTAATTGTATTAGAAGCTGAGGGGCAGAAATGGACACAAGAAATTATTTCATCTGATCACTAATAATACCTGGACTATCTTCGTTCTTGTTTCCTGACCTCAGTGAATCCCTTGTTCAACTGTTAATAGTGTGTTTTTCTAAACTTTAAATTTTTCCCCAAGATTTTCTGCCTCAAAGCTGTTAATGAAAACACCTTAACCTAACCTTACTAAGAAACTACATGTCTAAATTTTTTATGTGGTCATTGACCTGCTCCAGCAGCAATGCTTGGAAAAAGTCAGTTACTATTCTTGTAATTAGCAATACCACTGCCCAGTGAGGGGTTAGAACCCCTCTGAGAGTTTTTGTACAACCCATAGATAATCAGGGTTGTGGTGACCGTGAAGGTAAGAATCAGAGCTATGCTCAATAATAGCTGAGGTCTTCATGATACATAGTCTTCAGGACTATGCCTCTCCAAGGATCACTCAGGCTTGGCTTTGCCAACCACCGAGTCATCTTCCTAGAGTTTCTGTTTTTTTTTCCAGGGGTATCTGAGATCCTGCTTCAAAATATATAACCATTATATCATAAATTTAAATATAATATTCATAGTATCCTTATTTATTTGATTAATTATTGTTGGACTTTTTTTCTTTTTTGTTTTATTTGAGTTACAAACACAATTAAATTATATGTCAATCCCAGTTCCTTTCTCCCTCCCCTCCTCCCCTACCACCCCCCAACTGAAACCCTACCTATAACATACCCTTTCTATTCTTCCCCTGACTCAACCTTTCTGCTCCCTCATGACCTCTGCATCCCTCCTCCTCTTCCCTTCTCATTCTCAAAGCTTCCTCCCCCCTTTCCCCATGCTCTCAATTTGCTCAGGGGATCGTGACCCTTTCCCCTTCTCCAGGGGACAAAGTTTGTCTCTTTTAGGGTCCTCCTTATTTACTAGTCACTCTGGCAGTGTGGATTGTAGGCTGGTAATCCCTTACTCTATGTTTAAAATCCACATATGAGTGAGTACATATCATGTTTGTCTTTTGTGATTTGGTTACCTCGCTCAGAATGATTTATTCGAGTTTGTTCCATGAGTTTTAATGTTGCCTGTTGCTCCCCTCACATGGCCGGCAACACTGCTCTCCCATTTGTTGGCATTTGTTTTGTGTCACATGGCCACTTCTAGAGAATGTTGCATGGGCTGCTGAATGGAATGAGTATTTTTTGCGGTGTTTAAATGGAACTATCTGCACATGCCTGGTAGGTCTATTTGATTTACAGTATCATTTAACTCTCAGGTATTTCTCTCTTTGTGTTCTCTTGTCATGCCTGTCTATTGGTGCAAGTCTTCAAGTCACCTACTATTGTTGCGTTGACATTAATCTGCGTTTTTCCATACAGCAATATCCATTTCATGATCCTGAAATCATGTGTGTGATGCATACATGCTTGGAATAGTACTATCCTCTTGATTGTCTATTCCTTTAATCAATATGACGTGGCTTTCTTTATCTCTTCTGGTTAATTTAGGCTCGAAGTCTACTTTGTCAGATGTCAGGACAGTGACGCATACTTGCTTTACAGTCCTTGTGTTTTAAATGTGCTTGCCTAGCCTTTCACCCTGATGTTACATTTGTCTTTGGTGATGAAGTAGGTTTCTATGGAGACAAAAAGCAGATAAACCCTATTTTGTAACCCCATCTGCTGGGCTGTGTGCTTCATTTGGAAATTAGGATCGTTAATATTTTAGTTGTTATTGAAGACCATGTAATAATCTTTTGTTTTGTTGATTCTGTAATATTTGTTTCCTACTCTCATTTATCTCAACAGTTTGTGTTTCCTGTTGCCTCATGCATATGTTTATCTTTTTCCTCAGTTTGAAGTTACTTCTTTTTCTCTTTTATTGAAAACAGATTTTTTTTCCCTGACATAATACATCCTGATTCTGGATTCCCCTCCCTCTATTCCTCCAAGTACCTCCCCAAATCTCCTCGAGTCTGGATCCATCCCATTAATGTCTCTTATTAGAAAACAAACAGGATTCTGAATCATAACAATAAAATAAATAAAATGAGCAGAGTTTCATAGGGAGATGGGATTCAATCTACCTCAAGATCCAACTATGCCTCTTTTAATCATATACTCAAAGGTTGCTTCATCCAACCACTGAGACACTAGCTAGTCTGTACACAATACCTAAAAATTGTAAACAGCTTAGACATCTCTGAAGAGATAAATGGATAAAGAAAATGTGGCAAGCTTACACAACGGACTATTACTTAACCATTAAGAAGATGAAATCACGAAATTCACAAGTAAACATTCTGAGTGAGGTAACCCATACACACTAGGACAAACTTGGTGTGTATTCACTTATATGAAGATATTACTTGCTAAGTCAGTGACAACCAAGCTATAATTCATAGAACCACATGCTGGGGTCCGGCCTGTATCAGTCCCACACTACAGAGGCCGTCTATTCTGGACTGATGTCTTTGGAGCTGCGATAGGAACCAGCAGAACAGCCCTGGGGCCAACCCTGAGTAGGGGAGTGTGGATGAGGGAAGTCCTAGCTACCCAATGTTGTTAAAGACACCTTGTGTCTTTAACACAGAGACATCTTGTCATCTCATGAGGGCTCTCAGTCAGCACTGGAGACCACAGTTTATTCAAGCATCCTCTTAAATAGCTTTCCAAAAGTGGGGGTACTGGCAGAAGACATCTCTTATCAAGCATAGAGCTGATATCAAGTATTTCCTTCAATCCTCAGGACACCCCTAAAACTGCACGTCCTCTTTAGCATTCCAGCTCATCCCCCCACTAGTCCTCAAGCCCTCTATAGCCCTCAGGATGGGTGTGGGCCCACCCAGGGCCTAGTTCTATTGTTATACAAACTAGGAGCCATCCTCCA